AGAAAATCACAGCTGTTGTGGATTGGGTGTGGAGGAGCACAGACCCAGCAGGTCAGTCGTCGGATGGCCCACCTACATAGGAAAAAACATTTAGAGACAAGGGAATGATGCTGTTAGAGGATTACACACATTTGTCTTAGTGTTTGAAGGCTGATCATACTTTGAAGATGAAGCTTGGTATAAACCATAATAGAAAGAGAGGAAGGCCTGTTACTGTATTACGCACTGTTGGTATCTTTACTGTAATGGAGATTTTCAAAAACATGTCATTTTAGTTAACCTTAGAGTGAGCTCTACGTATTTTGATGCAAAACAGGTGACTAAACACTGAAGTCTGTACAAAACTGAATTGTATGGGAAAACTTGACAGAAACCAAAACGGCATATAGTACTATAAATTTCACTGTATGTCTCTTTTTACTGCAGCAACCAGGGCACAAGGGCAGTAGGAACATGTGGTCCTTTATTTGATCAGGGATAATAATCAACTAAGTCAAAAGGAAGGGAAGCAGATTTTCCTAGTTCAGTTGCTAATATAATCTTTTACGTGTTCCCAGTTGTGTAACCGCTGCTCCGTGCAGCATTGTAACATGCAGCCATTGTTAAATGGAAAAAACTGTGCAAATAGCAAAGAATCCAAATGTAGAGAAATGGTATTTGATGTCACTCTCATTTTGCAATGTGCATGATATTTCAGATCCCAGCCCTGCTTTCCTCCTGTTTTGCCTGCTTATGCCTTCATTGGCATAAGGCCTCAGGTCCTTGCAGGAGGGGATTCTGCTGAGACTTGTAGTTGTAAATGTCTGGTGACTATGGAAGCAGCATAGTTTGCAATAAGATCTCCTGCTTTGCTGACCTCTCACCATTCCAGTAGTGTTGGTTACTTGAGGTCTAACCATTAGTAATGTTGCAGAATCTCTCTTGGGGCTGCAGGTCCTACAGTCCTTCCATTAAAGAAATCATTCTCATCTTAGGCTGTGGAAGATGCATCTCCTTTCCATCAAAGAAGTTTCAGCTAATGACTACTTAGACATGCATTGATCCTACATTACACAGTTACTGACCTAGTCCTAGATTTTACTTCAACTTTTATCTGGAACTAAAGACTGTTATTAATGTCAGTAATGACCATAAACCCTTGAAGGTTTTAAATTCATAATTAGTTCAGATTCATTGCTTCATGTTGGCCTGAACCCCAGCCATAACTTCAGATTTCACTATGCCAGTCTCAGAAGTATGATTGATAATGTGATCTCCATCAACCAAACCCCCAAATTAGTCTCCCTTGTTTCTTCTAGATCTGGCTTTATCCTAAATGGCCAATCTTCTTTCACTTCCAGATGTAAATTTCAAACCAGTTCTAAGTCTAGTCTTAAGGCTAGACCTTGAAGAAATGATAACTAGATATCTGGCCTGACAGTAAGCTTTGTTTAAGCTCAAAAACCCCTGCTAAAAATGCAGAAACGTGCAGAAACACCTCACTTTTGCCTGATCTAAGTCAATCATAATGAAAGTTCTGAGTACAATAGTAATCTATATTGTTGTCTCTACATTCTGTTTTTTTCTAGAACTAAGCATAGCTTGTGGGTCCCTCTAAGCAGCAGCATTAAGTCAAGCTTGATGGACACTTCTAAATCCAACAATATTTTGTGGTCTCAGCTTCATGTTGCCCTTCTGAAGTTAACCCTTATGGCAAAGATAAATCAGATTTAAGCTCTGTCCTGAGTACATCACTAGGAAGAAAGCATCAAATGTTCAAGAATTAACTATATTAAGTTAAACACACCATGCAAACCTTTATGGCAAAAGACACAATCCAAGCTCAGACATTATGCAGGCTCATCCAACATGGCAGCCTGAATCCAAATCCATAAACCCAGTCATAGCTATTCCCAAATCCTACAGAGTTCATAATAAAAACTAAACCTACAACCTGTTTCAGACAGGCAATTTACCAAAGCTTTACCAGCCCTTATTTGCAGCAGTCCTAAGGCCCATATCAACCAACCCATCCTTGCCCAGACTACATTCCTTGGCTAATATAGAATTTAATCCAAACTTTAAAGTTAGGTTAGTGATTTCAGTTAAACCATAGCCCAAAACTATTCATACAAAAGCCTGTTACTTATAACCTGGAGCATATTGAACTGAAAACAAATTCTAATCTACCCTCAGTTTTTAAAAGCAGGTTCAGCCTCCTGAACTATGCTGATCTAATCACCAGCATGCAGCCTCAGCCATTTTATGTTTTGCTTGATGGCCAGTTTTACTTACAGCATAGTAATGTTGGTGGTATGGGATGCCCTGCCTGTAGCAGTACAATATGTACTGTCTACAGGTATGGCATTAATAACCTGTATTGTTTCTTTAGTGTCAAATATCTGCTTTTCTAAGACTGATGACATCTCTACAGGTTTTCTCCAAGTGCTCTAAGAGTGGGGATTTGTTTGTACCACTGTTTATTGCTCCATAAGCCTAAAGTTCCCTCAGTCCTCACCCCACACTGAGGGAAAAAATACTGTGCTGTGTCATACAAAACATCTGTTCCTACCCCTTCCAATAGTGTGCAGCAGGCATGAGGTTCTGCTAGATGGCTCTGCACCAAAGACTCCCCTCCTCCCAGTGACCAACAATCACTTACATACAAGATGGAGACAGGATGCTGATCTGACCAGTGATTTGGCATGTATATATTAAAACCAATGTATTAATCGATCCACAGAAATGCAACTGAAGTTACTAATACGAAACCACCGAACAGTGACTCCATTAATTCTTCATATAATTTACTGTAATGCTGTTACAACACAAAAGATAAAAATCTTCCCATGGGCTATACACAAAAGCTATGAGTTATTTCATTTTATACAGACAAATGTACTGAATTCATCAAACCATTTATTTGATTGAACTAATGGGTCAAAAAAGGGAAATTTCTCATTTGGTTTTGCTAGTTACAATTATGATGGGTTTGTTTTGTTCTGCAGCACTGAGAGAATTCTCTCAACTGGCTATTTGAATATTACAATATTTTTATTGCTCTTTGCTCTTGACAATGAACTGCAATTTCCAACAGTGTGATACTTTATGCAACTTTGTGTTCTGCAGAATTCTGGAGAATCTGCACATGTAATGACATATGATCATATCTTATCTCAGATGATGTGCAGACACAGTAATTTATTGGGGGGGAGCCCAAAAAAATCCAACAAACCCCAGTGCAAAATGGTTCGCATAACAACAAGAAAATTACTGGAAATGCTGCATATGAATCCGATACCCCATTTGAGAAATTATGTACACAGAGTTCTTTTTATGTAGAGCCTAATGGACTAAGACCCTGTCTGCTAGTGATTGCCTACTTTCTCTAAATTCTACATATTCCCCTCACATACATTCAACAGCCTGGAAGTTTTGACCTTAAATTACTTATTTGTGCCATGTCACTGGTTAGCTGAGGGAGCCAAGGACCTCAGGATAGTGGCATATCCCTTGCTTTAGTGGCATATCCCTTACCTTTGTACTCCCCATCTTAACTCCTTGGAACAGGAGGTATCTCCTCTCCTGTCACTGACTATGGAGGTCACCTGCATACATAGGGAGGGAACCTGACTTTTATAGGACTAATTTTAGGACAAAATACATCCCAAACAGTCATGAAGAAAGAACTCTTTTGCAGCACTTCATTTGCTACAAAGCTTTGTCCAGTAAATATTGAACAATCTGTGTTACCATTACATCTCATCATGAATTTGTACAGAAGCCAAAGCTTTCTTGCACTGTTATGGTACTTTTGGTCACAGCCTAAGTCTTCATCCTGAATTAGGAAGCAATTGAGCTGAAGTCTTCCACTTCTCAATTACTGAACTATGGTGTCTTTTTTCTACATAAAGTGTTTCATATTCAGAATTATTCGCAAGTTCAGTCAATGTTTTTGATTGCTTTTCTGCAGATTTCTCATGATAGAGAGATACTGAAGGAAGTTTTACAGAATTAGAAAGAAAAACTGCATCCTGGTATCATCCATTTTCCTTCACCAAAAATGCACTTTTCTTCAATTCCACAATATTCAGCATATATTTAATGGACTGAATGGGCATGGATTTAAATCCAAACCTGAATCTGGTGTTGGGATAATCTGAGTATAAAATAACACCTGCTATTTCATGAATGCATAGAAGAAGTTTGTTTTGTGTGTTCTCTTCTCTGTCCTCTCTAACACCACTAGAGAATATTCTCGGCTTCTCCAGAACCATAAACAAATGTGTATTTGTGCACAGATTATCATGGCATCTGTAAAACACTTTTAAAAATTAAAATAGCTATTGAAGGGTTGAAAAATTTTTTAATAATCTTTATTACTTTCAGTCTCAGTTTACACAGTTTCCCTAAATCAGTGAAAGCTGATGAACATATTTTTATGGATTTCCATCAGAAAAACATCTGGACTTGTACCAGAGGTAATTCTGAAATCTCATGACATTTAGTGGCATAGTTTCATTTCCTTCAGTTATCCAGCTACAGTAGCAGGCTACTGCAGTTACTTAGCTTATGATATTTGCATGTTTTGTTGGTTTTATTTTAAGAGGAAAAGAAATAAAATTTCCATAATATGTTTTATTTATTTCCTGAGGACTTTCACTTACACAAGTAGGCACTAAACATTTGAAATTGACTTTCCAGAGCACAACAGTAAAAAAACTTTAGAGTTTGGCTTAGTTTCATTTAAAACAGTAAAACTGACCTTGTAAACATTTCCATAGGAGGTAGGATACATACATTTGACAATCTGTCAAATATGAGAAAGTAAACAGTTACTCTGTGGTCCTAATAAATAATGAGCAACACAGGCATTAAATAAACATTTTATATATATAAAAAAAGATATAAGTGAAAGACTAAAATAGCATTTTTAATAAATTAGGAATAGATGTAATAATTTCTTTACAACTTATTCTTGCATGCAAGAATCACTGTCTCTTTCTGCTTACCCTGAATTTCTGACTGAAAAGTTATAGTGGTGAGAACAATCCTGAGAGATTCATAAGCAGGACCCAATCTAAATATCGCTATTTTTTGTGTGTGCAGGGCTGATAACATTGCTAAAATGGCTTCTTTAACACTATATGTACTACTTTTATCTTCCACCAACTTGGAAGGGAATTATCATCATAGCCTTAATGTCTGGGATTGGAAAGAAAGCTTAGGGCACAGACATGTCTCTCTCAGTTAGGTTCCTCCAGCAGCTGCTCCCATGAAGACAGTGTTGATTGGTGGTAAAGATGGCACCATATCTCTGCTTGGTGGGGCATGGACCTCCAGATTTTCCTGGGAAGGGAACTGACCAGATGTTCCATACATACACTGTGATGAAGATGTGGTTTGCAAGTTTGAAGCTGTGAGGAGAAAAGGTTACCATCACTGCAAGTTTTCAATTTATTGAATTCAACAGAAATCACAGTCATCACAATCCAATTTCATTTGATGGAAACGCCTATCTACGAGGTACATCATCTGACAGACAAAAATGTCTGATGTTCTGTGCAGGATTAACAGGTAAGCAGTAGGTAGATGTAATCTTGTCTAGAAATAAAATGCTATAGTTCATGTCTTCCATGCAACCCATTTTGGAATGTGAGACCAAACTTGGCTGCTATTTGTTTAAGACATATACCAAAATAAACCCTTCGGGATTGGGTATTTCTGACTAAAATTCACTGTCAGTGGGAGCATTGCCTATTACACAGTTGTTAAAGCATAGAATGGGGGACCAGAGCACAGGAAGTGTATACTGAGACACCCCTGACCCAGGATTCATTTGATCTGTTTGACAGTATCTCCAAGAGACCCTAGAAAAGCCCAGTCTATTATTAGTTAACTTAATAATCAGAAAGTGCTTCCTAATACACATTTTTATGCAACTCAGGTGAATCATTCCACTGCTCCTGGACAACAGATTATAGACCTCAAAGCAAATTTATTAAACTCAGTTTTAAGGAAAACTCATCCTAAGTACCAAGCTGCTTCATCTCTATGTTGCATTTCATATATTGTGTATGTGAGCTACAATTAAACACTCAGCATTTGATAGGATACTAAAAGTTCACATCTGCTCCTCAGTTGTTGGCTGTACTTACGCATAGGGGTCCGGCAGACTATTGAAGGTGAAGACTCTGAGTAGCAGGAGCCTGTTTGTTTTCTTCTGCTGTCATCCAAGATATTCAGTGGATCATGTACATCACTGTAGGATGGCAGTGGCCGAATACTGCTGACACTGCTGATTACAGAAACGTGTTGGTCCACCATTGTTCCAAGTCTGTGAGATTCTGAATAGTTTATGCTGTTTCCATAATATCCTAATTGAAGATTTAAAAAAAAGAAGATGAATGGAATGACTGGGTAGTGTATGAGCCTGTGATAACCTTGGAAAAACAGTACTTGTTACTGGATGAAGCTCTTCACAATAAGATTATTTATATACACACACAGCTCAGGAAAATAAGCAGCATATGTAAAGATGACCCAAAAGAGAGGTGGTAACAAGGAAACCAAAATATGAAAAGGGTTCAGTCTTCAGTTTCTTTCCTTCTAAGTTCAGAATCAAACATAGCCTGCAATCATTGGCCTTAAGAGACACCACGGGGAGTCATAAGCACAGTTCAGTGCTTCCTTCTGAAACTTATGATGAAGGAAAGCATACATGGAAAGAAAATCTGCAGGGTAATATGTACTCCCTGCATAGACAAATCCATATGAAAGTAACATTTCCACTGTGCCTTTCCTCCAGAAGAGGGAGGTGTTTTGCTGACTATACCTCTGAAGCAGTAATTTTACATTTGAAGTATGAGAAATGAGAGGGACAAAGTCCCAAACTATTGCTAGTGCACATTTTTATACTTCTTTCCACCCTGCAACTCAAACGATCCATTATGCTGATCCCTGAGGTAAGCTATCTTGTGTCTGCTCTGTTTCACAGCAAATGTTTTGGGGGCTTTTCAAGAGATTGTTAAACCATAAGATCATCCTGGTTTTGCTTCCTTTGTGCAAGATTTGGTGATGATACCAAAGGAAGATTACATAGGGCAGCAGATGCATTTGAGGTCAACTGAGGATTCACCAGAGGAAAATAAACCCTTAAGTAGCTTATTAAGATGCTTTACAATCTCTGTGTGTTATCAGAGAAGTGGAAAACAGGAATGTAAAAATAAAAGCTGAAATGCATCTTCCACAGAAAAAAAAGGCAAAGAAAAAGTGTTTTACTTCAGCAATGAAAGAGAAACAAAAGGAAAAAGAAAATATGTATTAATACCATTGGAAGCGTTAGCAGGATAAGCTGCTCCTGGACATGTAGACACTGAGTTGTTCAAGAAATTGAAACTCCCGCTATTCAGAAACTGCATATTGTGTGTGTCCTGAGACATGTTGGAGGGACAATAGCTGGAAGGGGATCTGGCATTGTAGGGAGACACAGCACAACTGTTGCTGAAGTAGTCTCTGGAGAACTGCTGTTCACTCAAGGCATTGAATCGGCTGGGCTCTGCTCTGTGGTCGTAAACTCCTGAAGTGGAATGGGCCTGTGTCCTGAACATAGCCTGGTAATTGGAATTGTTTCCATAGTAATTCTGATTAGTCTGTGACAGAGTCTGATAAAGGGGTTCTGAGTAGGAAGAGCACTGTGAATGTGTCGATAACATGGGATCTACACTGGGAGGTCTCACAGCCATTGGCCCCTGGTTGATAACACTTCCTCGGCTGGCCATGGCTGGTGAAATGGGTGGAGTCATGAGGTGACCAGTGCTTTGAGACAGCTCCATTTGATCTGGAATAAATAAACATTAACTGTGATTAGTGTCCATACCTCAGTACTGCTGTTAAGACACAAACCATCTAATGAAGTGCAGATTATCATTTGAAACCTTTACAAAAGATATGCACTGCCCCCCACCTATATAATTCACAGCTTTTATTTTATGGCTTCAGGGTATAAAACTTCTCCCTTTAATTTTCCAGCTTTGAGGTGTCACATTCAGTGGGAATTCCCAATAGTTACATTCCTTATGTTCTCCAGGTTTACTGTTCATTCTCTATTCACAAGAACCTCACCAAGCCAAGAGTTCTAAGATAGTTTTACCATTTTTCCAAGAGAAACTATTACTGGCAGGGTAATTACAATTGCTGACTTCTGTAAATCACCACACAAGGTGAGTTCATGAAATGTTGTTTACTGGAGGTCTTCATGAATGCATGTGGTCACTGTTCCTCCTACAGCAACATGTTACCACTAACTGAAAGACTAACAATCAAATTAGGGAAGGGGAAGCTGGAAGAGTTGATACACACCTGTCAGCTGCATACTGTCCCCATCTCCTGTGGTGAAGGGGTTGAGGCCAGAAGGTGCACTGCTGGGCTGGCCAGCTGACAAGGGCACGTAGGTTTGCTCTCCTAGGCACTCATTTTTGACTGAAGTGTCACTGGGCAGAGGAGCGGCTTTGTTGCGATTTGCTAGGAAGCAAGAGCTTGGTGATGCAGTGAAGGTGGCTTTGCTTGCATCTGGAAGGGTAAATGAAAACCCTTGTTGGCTGTTACGTTTCCTCACTGCACACAAGTTACGTTTGTATCATTTTCCCTGACCACAGATCTATATCACACAGTTTCAGCTCCTTACTGAAGCCATTATATTGAAAGTATGAATCAGATTTATTCCCTTGAAGTAAATGTCAACAATGAAGTCAAATAAAGTGCATTAAGGGTGAATCAGGATCGGCATTTCTTCCTAAAGAATGAACAATGGCAACTTTAGAATGCCTGAACTCTCTTTTCATATTGATATCTAGAGAAAAGTAATTGTTATATTCAAGAGTTCTTCAGTTTTTTGCAGACAGTTGATAAAGTCAGTTTTGCTGTTCTTCAGAGGAAACCATGATTTTACCTTATGGTTTCAAGTACTTCACCTAAACACACAAGGATAAGGCAACTGTCACACAGGCCAAGTTTTTCTTCTGGAGGCTGAATTGAAAGAAGTGCAGCACTTACTGTCAGACAAATTCTATGCATGTTTCCTGCAGCAAAGTGCAGATTTAGAGTAGCAACAACCAAAAAGTTAAGGATTGACTGCCAGTGCTAATGCCAATAAAAAATAATTCTGCAAGTTTCTGAAGTTTCAATGGATTTTTAATGATTAACTTGACCAAAGTTGATTGGTGGATTATGATTAATGGACCAAAACTTGATTCAAATCAATCTTCATTCTTTTTATAGCAAAGGACCTGGAACATATAATTTCAAACTGCCTAACTTTGAAGAAGCCTGGTAGATGGAAAATGCTAAGGATACTGTTTTCAAATAATTCTATTTCTCTTCCATATAGTAATAGTTCAACTACATGGTAAATAGGGCTCCAAACTTGTGTTCCAACTTTGAAAGGATATTTGCACTCTGGTAACATTTAATAGATCCCTGGTTCAAGTTGTAATTACATATTTAAGCTTTGGGGAAAAACTGAACTAGGAATTCCTGCCCTTTCTGCTACTTATACTTCTTTTCACACTTCAGTTCATGGCCCTTCAAATGTAAGTCTTTGCTGTATCCAAGATAACTTCAGTGATCCTTAGTATTGACATTCCAATAGAATGTTATTAAGTGAACTGTGGTAGGAAGGTGGGAATGAATTGCTGAGTGAATGATCACAAACCTTTCAGGTGAATTTGACAATGTTGCACATAACCACACCTTCAGGAGAACACAGTAACCTTGCTTCTGCTTGAACAAATACATCAATTTCTAAACATACCAGAGTACATGCAAAAGAAGCAAGCTCTAGTTACCTAAATTCTTCATGTATTTGTCCAGTAGATTCTGGAGTTCTTGTTCTTTGTCATTATTGAACTGTGTCTCCATGGCAAGCAGGATGTACTCATCTAGTAACATGCGGATCAAATGAAAAGAACCTTTTGGAGGAGAAAGAGAGAGAGTAGCTGAGTTATCTTTGTGACCATCTCTCACCACTCCACAAGAAGCCAGTGAAACAAACAAATAATTGTGGACTTTAAATGACCTGGCAAGACCAACAAGGAATAGTGCCTAACTTCTAGCTCTAATCTCTCTTTGCACTGGCCCACCTAGCTCAATTGTTTACTGTCCTGTAGGCTATTTGACCACTAATTACATCAAAGAAAAATACTGATGAAAGTGAGACATGCTTTATACTTGAAGAGAGCACACAGTGGAACTAGATAAGGCTGAAGTCTGCTAGAATGCCTCTGCTCTATTTCTGTTTGCCTTGTGTTAAATAATCAGACAATAACTGGTAAAGTCTTTGACCTTATTTCAAGGATATATCACATTAAAAAAATGTATGTGTCCATCCAGTCATTTCAATTACCCTCTGAATTTTAGGTAACAATGTACCTATGACTAAACATATGACATTATGTACTAGAGTTTGTTTCACTTGCTCTGCCATCTTCTCTCTTATATAAGGTTGTTTCTGAGTGTTCCCAAAAATGTAAACATTCCTAAAGATGCATATGTGACCCTTAATTTTTAAAAGCCACAAACTATTAAATCAATCAATCATCTGCTGATTCCAGAATTAAGTGCGTGGTGACTGCCAAATTTCTTTTGCTTTTATTAAAACATATCATGCACAAGAACTTATATACAACAGTGTTTGTTTTACCAAACTTATCCACAGGAAAAACCAATAATTTAAATCTTTTGTCTCTTATAATGAGATATGCAATCATTGTCATATTAAAACAAACAAAGCTTCTAGCACTTAAGTATCAAAGCAGTATCAAAACAGCAAGTCAAAAGAAAAATACCATTTACAAACAACCTTATGACACAGGTTACCAGCAAAAAATATTGCTAGCATTTACTGTGAAATATTAGTTTGAAAAATACATCAAACAGTATTTGTGGCTTTGATCAAAGAATTTTTAGATTAGGATGTGTTCCTCAGAAGAGGAAACAGTGGAAAGCTGGTAAGTGCTTAAAATAGATGTACAAAATATGAGTGTTTTTATAAAGCTCAGGTACCAAAACTTGATGCATTGTTTAGAGTTAGGTTATGCATGACTCGAGCACCGAAAAAGCTCCATTTCAGAAGGAAGTCCTGAGCTCTCTTCTTTAAAGACCTCCCATTTTGCTTGCTTGCCTGAAAGAGAACAGTGAAATACTGTTAGGTATGCTCACTTGCTTTCTGCCAACAGGAGAGAAGAATTGAATATCCTTGAGAGATCAAGGACTCCTTAACTCAGGCTGATGTGGCAGAGTGAATCAAGCTGCCTGATTCAAACTATCTCCCTGCTCTGTGACCTAACTTGGTAAAACAGCAGCATTCTCTCCTTCCAGTGCAATCACAGAATGTTGTCTGTCAATGTCAGATGAAGCAAACTGCTTACTACTTGGGCCCTGATGGGACATAAATTACTCCATAGTCTAGTACTAAAGGTGCCAAGTTGTTCTGTAACTATGCAGGTGAAGGAGGGAGGGAGGGAGGGAGGAAGGAAGGAAGGAAGGTCCCACCCTCTGGGACTGTTATTCCATAATAAAGGGGAATAGAAATTAGTCTTTGAACTCTAATTTAATCTGTGTAATACTGGTCAGAATTTCTCTTACAAAATGGTATGATACCATCATGATGATCACAGTGATGCTTTTAATACTGCTCATTTCATACAGTCACTTTGCTTTGGCAGTGATTTGTTTGTGTGGCAACATGAATGCCCTGTTACTTTCTCACACAGCAGGCAGAAAGAAGCTGTTGTGTGAGTTTGACAGTAGCCACACTTTAGCATGAACAGAAGGCAAACAGCAGTGGAAGGATTATGTGTTCTGTAAATTATTAGCTTCTGCTCAAGTTGACCTAGCTTCATATCAAAACTTGTTGGTACTTCTTCCCTTAAGTACATGAAAGCAATGCTAGGAAGCATACTCATTAGCTTTAATAATATGGTATCACATAGTAGATGCTGAATGGAAAATTGCTTCACCTTTTCTGCCTGCTTTGCTTATCAGGAATTGTCTTCCAAATTGTGGAATGAAATTTAGACTCCGGTCTAAAATTATTGAGATTACTCAGCTTCAATGGGATTTTTTTTTGCCTAGGGAGATTTCTCTGTGTGAGGACTTTGGCTCTGCTGCCCTGAGTAATCCAAAGCTCCTCACTGTGCTGCTCATGTGTCAGCAATTGTTAGGAAACTCAGAGTACTTTAAAAAGAAAGAAATTATCACTGCCTCCACTGAAATTTGGGAAAACAAGCAAAGAAAGGAAAAAGGGCATGCCTATGGTTTTCCTGTAAGTGGCAGTCTCTCTTCTGCCAGCCAGTTGATGCTAACTGTATAATCTCATCCTTTTGCACCCATCCATATCAAGATCCTACCTAAAATGATGAATAAGATATTGCATTTTCAGTTTAAAAAAGTCTGATGAGAAGACCAGTGTTCAGCTATTAGCCAACAATATGTAACACCTTATTCTACTAGTTTACAGTAATTAGAGACACAAATTGGGTAAATTCATTTTACTTAGCTATAAGAAAAATATCCTTTCTTTTGTTCTGAGCTGTAGTTTATTAATCCCTACACAACTACATATATTTAAAATACTTGTGATGAAAATGCATCTTGGTAATTGGAGATGGGAAGGGGAATCCCATCAAAACCATCAATTACTGAGTTAAGCACCTTATAAAGCTACAAAACTGTATCTTCCATCCTGAAATGTAGAAATCCTTCAGGAGGCTAGCTACTTCTGAATCCACCTGCTGCAGTAACTTATACCACACAGTACCACTTAAATGCCATGGGAGAGAGAATTGCTTCTCTAAGAAACAACTTTTGCTCACCTTACTCAGAGCAATCCCCCTGCGATTCTGCAGGCACACATAAGGTCACAGGGTTTCTGTCATGTACAGTTTGAAAGTGCTGACTTTAGTGTCTTAGCTACAATACCTCCTAGTTTGTCACACATGTAAGACTGCTCAGCATGATTAATTTGGACTAATATCACAGGAATCTTTGACACCAAATTACAAACTTCCCTGTCACAGTAAAGGAGATAGGAGCAAAGACGAAAATTCCTTGTGGAATATCAATGGGACTGCATAAGGAGTTAGGGGAGTAAGATTTGGTCTGGAGTCAGGCAGAACATTTGAAAGGTACCTTGATAACCCTTTGCTCAACCACAGTATCCAACCATTCAATAAATGATTCCACAGTGGCATTCTTCTTTAGGAGGTCCTTCAGTTCTTGGAACACTGTAATAGAGTCATCTACCATGTAAAAAGGAGAACATATCATTGCACTCTATTCCGAACATGAGAAAAAGCCACTCACCAGCCATATGACAATATTGTAGCATGGAAAGGAAAATCAAAGAATTAGAGCAGTAAAGAAATAAGTAATTCCCCAGCAAAGCAAGCACACATACATCCATCACACATATGCATTTTAATTACTTAAGCATTACAATGATACAGGTTGTAAGACAATATGGTTTTATAAGAAAATAAAAGCAAAAGAAGATTATTGTATTTTTCATTCCTTTGAAGATTCAATCTCACAAACCTTTCTAGTACTACACGTGCATAGAGCTTTCTCTGTAATGTTACAGATCTGCAGTGTTTTATGTTTCTTTCATATTTTACAAGTTTCTCACAATAGGATATAAAGTTATTTTCCTAAATTCCCATTTTCAAAAAAGTGCCTGAAGGACCAGCTATTTCTCTTCTTATTTTCTTTTTTAACCAATGTGAAGGAAGACAAAGAATAAAATAAAAAATAACTACACAAAATATGGGATAGGGGCAACGGGCAACTCAAATGAAAATGTGAATAGGATTGTGAATCATTAAAGAGAACAACCTTTCATAATCAAAGTAATAATAGTTACAGGACAACACATTGCTATTCCTTTCAGCTCTTGAAACCCTGATCAACGTGACTCCTATGACAAAGTTCTCTTTTTAACAGAGAAAATGACTATATCTATTTTTCAACAATGTATATGAAAATTACTACCTCAAAATTTATACTTCTCTCTATTTTGTGTATGAAAATAGCTGCTACACTAAATAGAAAATTAACTATATTTTTCAAGCTCAACTTTCAGAAGAAAATATGATTAAATAAAAAAAAGTAAACTAGTTCAAATATCCATTACATTAGGCCAAAATGAAATGGAATTTCAGACAAACTTTTCAATAACTGATCTGTTCAATATCCCCACATAGGATAGGGCCAAGTTTCAAAAGAGGTTTGCAACTGACATGTAAATGAATTTTTCAGCAACCACCCAAAGTCATCTAGCTGAGATAACTTTCCACCACAAGCTTCTCTTCTTGTAGGACATGCTAGGGCAACTAATTTGTTTTCTTAACCTACTGAAGTTTATGATGAACTAGATTCGAGAAAGCAGAGTCTATGAGTGCCCTGTCTCAGTCAGCCCAAGTAGACTGGTGTGGCATGGAATGCAAGAATGTACTTTTAATGGTAAAAATATATCACCATGGACTTACATTCACTGTAAACTTCCCCATCAGAGTCTGTGCTCCCTGAAACTGCAAGGAGGGCCTGAGAACCAATACTATTCAAATCAACTTTTTCAATATCTGACACCATGGAATTCACCACATGCTGATCAAATAGAGCTGGCCGAGCAATCTGCAAGAGAAAGCAAGGTAAAATGCTGAGACCCTGCTGTAGTTTTGCCCCAGCTGGCAGCTCAGCACCACACAGCCACTCACTCACTCCATACCCTGCCAAGGGATGGGGGAGAGAATTAAAGAATAAAAGTAAGAAAACTTTTTGGTAATGTTAAAACCAGTTTGATATTTTTTAAAGAAATAATAAAAATAACAACAATAATAATTGAAAAGTTTAAAAGAAACACTAAAAAACAACAATTAAAACAATTTTTCACTACCAACTGACCAATGCCCAGCCAGGTCCCTGAGCAGTGATCCCCCAGTTTTATTGTTGATTTGTGGTAAGGAATATCCTTATCCTTGTCCCAGATATGTCACCTGCTAGATTTTTGTGCACCTCCAACTTACTAGCTTACTTGCAACTTACCTGCTCGCAATATGGTGTAAGAAGCAGAATAGACCTTGGCTGTGTGTAAACACTGCTCAGCAGTAACTAAAATAGCCCTGAATTATCAATAGTTTCTAGTACAAATCCAAAATATAGACCCATACTATGATGAACAAAATTAAGTCTATCCCAGCCAAAACCTGGGGAGCACCCAAAAAACTGCTCAGAGAAGAATCATATTATGTTTAATTTTATTGTTATGGCTGGGCATGATCATAACAAGCCAGATGAGATGTTTCCCTTTCATTAGACTCCTGATGCTCTTCTAATGTGCCTTCCTATCAGATTATCTTCACAAGATCACCTATATACTGCTTTTGTATTTATGAAAGAGAAAAACAGATCAAGATGAATCTCTGGTGTGCCTACAGTTATTCATGAGGACCACCACCTCAAAGCCCAAGATGCCAGCACAGAAGGAAGTTTCTTGAAAGGCATTGTATCCTTTTGGATAATCTACAAAACCATCACATGGAGGTGACTCCTAATTGCAGATACCTGTATCCTGACAACAAAGCCTTGGAGTCTCCAACTACCTGTCATTCCCATTTCTTCTTTCCACTCAAAACTCAAATAGAAATAGACATGGACAAGGCAGCGAATCTTTGCTAAGCAAGAAGGATCATCCAGTATTTTTCCAATTAGGTACTAAACAAAATACACAAATATTCCACTTGATTGTTTTATTGAAAATAGTTCCCGTGGTGGCAGTTCATTATAACCATGCTCCTTGCTCTCTTTTCTGGTACAAAAGTTTGAAGTTCCGGTCAGATCTATTTATGGTCACTTTCTAATTTCATGGTTAAAACTACAAGATTTAAGTCTTCCATGGCTGAAGGTCAACCTTGAAAAAATAATGTATTGTATCTCATAGCCAGAAAGGTACAATGACTACAACTGACACATTTTCGAATGTATAATCTTATTCTGTTTACCTGTGCTAGGTGTAGGAATGATGTCTGTCGTTTCAGGGAGGAAACAAATCTTCGTGCAATAGGCAATTTCTTATCTATCAGGCTTTCTGGTAGATTTTCCAAAGAGGAAGCAACCCACTGTTCCCAGTTTTTTGCAAAACTTCTTATATCTGCCAGTAAACTATAAGGGAAACAAAAAGTGATTTAGAGAATCACCAATAAAAATTGTGTGGCATTAGCTTAAATAATTGGGTTTCAATCTAGGGCTAACAGACTTCTGAACATATCTGGAAATTCCTCCTGAGGTGTTACCAAAAGAAACAGGAAATGATCAATCACTGATCTATATATTGACTACATATTGATACATACCTCCTCTGGGAAAAACTGTGGGCCAATTGGGACAATAAAATGCTATCCAATATTTGAAGCTGCTCTATAGCTGCCCTCAGAGCTGACACTATTTTGCCATACATACTCTAGTGCTCTAAAAATGAGCATAAATACAGTGAGAAAATTTCTCTAGAATATAGAATTACTGGTATTTATCTGGAATATGCCTAAAAATCAGAATGTACCGTGATTATTTTCAAATACCTACCTTTCTGGCATTTCTTGCATTGTTGCAGGGATGAGTACATCTGTAAGAACCTTCAAAAAGTTAACAGAAAATGACATCATGCTTCTACTGGCCATTCATTTATTCATTCATTCATGTCTGTCTTGTCTACTTAGATTGCAGAAAATTTACACAGAATAAAGCCATTCAACCTACTGTCTAGATATTTATATGCCTGGATTTTTCCAATCACTCTTAGACAGGAACATATGAGACATTCACATACTTATTGTGTATCTTCATAGCAGTAAAATAAGAAATCAAACAAGACATGCTATCCCCCATGTCTTAAAGAAGGGAAACCAGCAGAAGTGAGATCATAAACACTTTGTCTTTTCTAGCATCACCACGTCTCTGTAAAGCAGATACTCAAAGATCTCCCAAGTCTTTGACTGCTGTTGACTCTCCTTTCTACCAAACTGGACATGGCACTGCAGGCATTCAGAGTTAGCCATAGAGTTCTCTGTAGCTAAGTGTGGTGTGGAACACTTCTGGCAAAAAACCATCTGGCATACCCCCTAGGAAATATTACTGTGGAGGACAAAGCTGTTACACAAAATTTCAGAAATCTCCTTTCTCTGTTAATGTAAATAGTTTGATAACAATCCAATGTAATTCTTTATTCCTTCTGTCAGATGTCAAGAATATCTAACATGATTATAGATAAGAAATAAGGAGAGACAAAGAAGAGGCAAATAGCAAATTTATGAACTTCTGAGAAATTCAGTCTTATTCAATTTATAATTTAATGCTCCTCTAGTATTTCTTCTTCTGTCACATTAAATCTATCATAAATAAAGTTAATATTGAATCTACTGAGACAACACATTTAGAGCAGGAAAAACCTCATAAACTCAAGGTACATTATAACCTCTACAAGTAAATGAGGCTTAATGACCCATCTCCTGGGTAGTAATTATGATTCTTACTGCTAATTACCTTTGCTTTACTATGCTAACTAAAACACTTCTTACTTTACAGCTTTTTATGCTTCTAATAAATACATGTTTTCATCTTTTCTGGATCTTCCCCCCCATATTTTTGTACAGTAAAGAAAGATTTCAATAAGGCATCAGAGCTAAAAAGCTTCAAGTCTTTTGCTTTGACTGGCTGGTGTTTACTGTTAAACCAATAGTTATTTCTTCTCATCAATATGTGATATGAGATCTGTTAGAAAGACACTTGCATGAGAATCCTTTCCTATTTCTATGGCATGTCCTATCAAAGAAACTTAAAGTACTTTACATCTACTAAATAATCATCTGATACGACTTTCCAAATTAAAAACTCAGGAAACTTTGGTGGCATAAATAATGTTTTTTCCCCAGCGCTCTATAACTTACTCCTGACTTTGCAACACTCCTAAGGGTCACTTAGTTTCAACTTCTTATGTGGTCATGCCATGAGTTAGATCAAAGAATTCATATAGTACAAAAGCTCCACAAAACAAGTATTCCTTGATTTTTTTTATTAAAACCCAGAGCACTTTAGAGTGTAGCAGTTTTGCTGGTACATGTAGCAGCAAGAGAACAGAAATGAAAGGCAGCTGGCAGGAGGGGCAAGAATGCATTGTTCCAGCTTGGTAGCATGAAACCATGGCCTGACATAACCTGTGAGCAGCAGACTGGCATGTGGAATCACCCTACAGATGTGCCACAGACTCTCTTTTCTGGTAGAAATTGCAATATTCTTTTCAGCGAAAACAAGGCTTCAGTTTTCATCCAGGATTACGTTAGTCAGCCTTGTCAGTGAGCACATGAGCATTTATTTTAGCTACACTCAAGCAAGTATGTCAAGGTTTCACTGTTGCTGTGCTGCCCGTGGTCACACACCAGGTGTTCAGCTGAGCTGAGACTGGAGTTCAGTTCTTACAGGTGCCCATTTTATTTCTTGATTTCAATTATTTCCTTGCTGATTTACAGCAGAAAGCAGTCATGTCACCCTGTCATTCTATCTTTTTACAGATGCAGAAGCTGTGCTGTGGGTGAGATTATTCATGTAGCTAAATGATTAACTTACCTTATACAGTATTGAGTCACAGACACAGAAAATGTCAATGATGATGGGATTTTCAAGCAGAGGAAGAAGATGGTCAGGCATTCCTTGCCAAAAATGTAATAGGAAATGCTGGATCTAAAGGAATAGGAACCAGGTTCATAGACATAAATCATGCTTTCTTGGCTTTCCATGCATATGTACCAAGAGTGCGTGTTCAAACAACCTTACCTCTTCAAAGTTCCCATTAATTGCATTGTCAAGGACACACTGACAATGTGTTTTGTACATCATGATAAGAGTATCTACCTGTTTTGGAAGAAAGAAATATTAAACAGAGAGTTTCTTTAACAGAGTTTCTTAAATCTTTCCTTTACTGCTACGGTGATCTAAATTTCTGCTTTGTGTAGCTAGTATTTAAACACATAATATAAACTGTATTGCAATGCATATTTACAAATAGACAGCCTCTATATCCAGAAGTGATGAGGACATCACTCATCTATAGCTTTATCAACAGCTTTATATCATTATTATTCAAGCATTATTTAGGTCATTATTTAAGTCAAGCACTGATGCTGTGGTCAGACATGTAGCATCTGAACCTGTATACACTGTGAAAATGTGGATAATAAAGTAAGGCAATAGCCAGATTAGTCAGTCAGATGGTAAAGTAAATTCAGCTTTCTGAAGCTAAGATTAATCCCAAAGAGCAGTGCAAGTTAATCATTAGGCTACTATAGGCGTCTATGAGTGTTCGGAAACATCATCTAGCTGGACAAATGAGAAAATAGCTGCCAGTCATTTGGTCAAAGTTTAATCACTGCCTCACATGAACTCAGCTTTTAAAAGCAGAACTCCCTTTCATCTCATCAAGCTACTTTATCTGAATGGAGTGTTTCCTTATTAAAAAAAAAAAAAAAAAAAGTAGTAATTTTTAAAAATTGTAGCAAATTATAAGACAAGAAATATGAAAACTCATTTAAGGAAGGAAAAGGGCTGGCAAAACCATTCTTTGGTCCTGAGTCACAGAAGGTTTGTTACAGTTTATTAACTTCTCCAGCAAACCACTATCAGATTTCAAATGAACCTGGTTGCATCTTATTGCAATAGGTTCAGGATGCAGATTTCTTTGAAACCAGACCTTTCTGACTTTCAGATGCTTCTTTAACTATGTATCTTTGAAAAGCAATAGCAAAGTGTGAGATTCAACAACATTTTAAAGAATTGTTTTTGAAAGGAGTTGATGGAAGTGTAAAGGTTGGGTAAGTTCTCTCCAGAAATATTAAATGCAGGAATTATCCATCTATTTTAGTGCAGACTGCTGTATTTATGGGCTCTCCAGATATCTGAGTAGCAAGCAACTCCTTAAGAGTTTAATTCAGGAATCAAACTTCATGTATGGGCTGTCTTCAACAAGAGTACCTAAATATCTTAGTTTCAATAACCTTTGGTCAGATAAGCTGAAGGAGGGAAAAGGCAGTATGAAAAGAAAACAGGAAATAAGAAAACAAGAAATGAGAAAAGAGCAGCAAGGAAAGAGAATTCAGGACACACAGAAATTCATCTTTCCCACAGTCTCCTCATAACTCAGCAAGTCTGCCCCCAGACAATCATGCACAATGCTGCTGAGCCAAAAATGAAGGGAGAATGAATTGCCAGTTTTTCTCCATTGTTGGAGCAGTAAAAATCAGTTTGTTTATACTGCTGTGCTGGGTCTCCAAGGAACCTGAAACATTTGTCAGATTTAAATTCAATGAGAATGCTGTCTATATGAGAGATGTCACTTCACTGATGGAGACTATAGCAGCAGGTGGTGCACACTGCTAAGTATACCAGTTCTTGGGCTTTCTTTATGAATGGTAAGGTTTCCAGCTAAGATGGCTCCTTTTGTTTAGCTTCTCCCTACAGGAATGCTGGGCTTCACTACTTTCTCAGAACAAGCTTAGGAGGAGGGGGTCTCAAAACAACATGTCTCAAACCAGTCACCATTATCACCAGCACTGAAGACTAAATTGAAAAGTTCAAAATGTCTGTCAAAGGATTTCTAGCACAATGTAGCAGCTTGTAAGGGGACAAGAAACAACACAGATGTAACATGCAGTAAAAGAGTCAAAGACATAAAACATGAGAGGTATTTCCAACTGAAGAGTTATCCTTAGGGTAAGAAATACCAAGTATTGATTTGAGGAATGATTTAAGTAATTTTAAAAAAAACCCAAACATGTTCAGATTTTCAGCTGCTTTTCAAGTAATTAATGAAAGACAGTAAAATTCATCTATTTGTTGTGAATTATTTGTTCTGTTCTAATCAGAACAAAATTTACCTTAAATCCAAAGGCATTTTTAAAGAATACAACTCTCAGTTATTTGTTTGTTTTGCTCTCCCTGTCTTACATACCATCAGTTTGTAAAATACTGGGTCAGTTAATAGGTAAATAATTCAACCACCTTTCCATTGGAAAGCTGGTTAATCGGTGTTAGTAAAGGTTTGCCCCCTCTATAAATCAGTCACCTCTGTTTGATTATGGACATTTCTGGCTCTTTCAAGTCAATACCTCAAAGGCTAAGATATGAAGAAACATTCTGTGGCAAATTTTTGATCTCTTAGACAGAAGAGAAGGAGCTCACTTTTTACCTTGTCTTTAGAAATGCACCCTTGAAGCAAAAGGTGTTGAGCACTTGGAAACTCTGGGAGGAGTGTTCCAGTTTTGGAACTCAGAGAATATTTACGAGTAAAACCACCCTGAAATGGAAGGGAATAAACATGAACATTGAAATAGCTAATACTGTTACATCTGAAACCAAAAAATTCATGCTAAACTTGTATATTACTTCATGAGTCTTTTCAAGGTTCCACAATACTTGCCTTCATTTAAATCTTCAAAAATATTCATGCTTATCCAGATCTGGACCCCAGCTCAGGAAGGTTATTAAATGTGTGTCTATATCTAAACTCCACAGAACACTCTTAAGGTCTCAAATGCCATGATTAAGGTGAAACCCTCATCCTCAAGAGAAAAAAATACAATCTGTTTTATGGTTCTGCCCTTACTGGCTGAATTGTAGTTGTTCTCATAGGACTGCATTCAAATCTAAAGACGATTTGGCTTAAACCCTTTGTTCTATTTTAGCCTAACCAGTCCTTATGTAAAGTCAGTGTGGAAAGTCCTGTGGAAAATCTTACTACTTTTGTGCAAACTCCTTCTGTACTAATGCATGAAATTTATGATCTTGCATAAGGCATTTGAATGGAACTTGAAGTGACCTTTTCCTGCCTCTTTACCTACAGGTAGATTTCACTGAAGTGGGAATGGTAGGTATATAGTGCAACATATAGTGTAAAAGTGTGCAAATGTGACTATTTTTCTGTAAATGTTGACTTATAAATTGGAGGCCAGTTTCAAGTGAAATTCTCTCAAATACTAAATTCAGAAAACCATACCTGTAACTGACTGATGCAACATAAATATAGCCCTATTTTTATAGGGTGATATGTCTGACAAAACATACAGCAAAAAATCAAAAGCATACATCATGTAAACTAATTTTGCCTGTGCTATCTACTATTCAAATACACATAAAGCTCTAAGTAAAAGAAATTGCAGAAATTTAGAAACATTAGTACTTCTTCATGTCAATACTTCTATAGTGTTATAATTGCCTATCACGCAATAAGGAGGGTATTTTTAACAGGAGTAATTCTAATGATTTTATTATGCAATTACCCATGAAATATATTAAAAGCTCTGATTAAAAGGGATTTGTTCATTTTAAAAAAAGGCAGTGATTGTGGTGGGAGGTTTAAGAGAAAATAATCAGCAATGTTTTTTAACTTGCTAATGGACTTATTTAACTGTGCCTCAGTTCTAGGCTTAATATTTTAACCTGCTGCCACTTGCCCTTTCAATTTAATGCCATCTGTTTCTAATGGCCATTTAACATTAAGATAATGACAGTAATATTATCTGCCTAATTAACCATACAGACTCTAATGGTGCACTAACTGGTTTAGATAAAAGAATTTGCTGATATCTCCCCCTACAGAGAGAATACTAGAAAATGTGATAAAACATACCAGAAGTAAACAGTGTCCCTGGCACTCAATAAGTGTTCATTCAAATGCCATTTACTCAGTATATTTAGACAATCAGTGCTTTAACGTCTTTTCAATGTCTTTAAGTTCCCACTGAGAATTACACCTTATGCAATTGTTGTAAATCTTTTTGGAATCCCTAATTGCATGTACTTTCAAGCAAATGAAAAAGGACGTATCTATTGCCTGTTCACACTAATGAAAATATAATGCTAAAATTTCAGTGCATTGAGATTATTATAATTCAGTTTTAACTATTAAAGACTTTTTTTCTCTTAAGATCTGCCTGAATAATTTCAGACAATACCGAGCTAGACAATCAAGAACTCACAATGATGTGCCCTTTCTCATTTATTTCCACCAACTTATCTGTGAACATTTTTTTCTGGGAGAACAGAGGAGCTCTGGGTCAGAAACAAGACAGATTACAAGACAGATTTGTGGGATTGTCAATTCCAAGGCAGGCTGCCAATGCCATATCAGAGATGGAAGAAAATATGCATTCATTTATGCCAAAGGAGCCCAATATATTCCATCTCAAAACCCTGAATGAATGAATGCTTCAGTAGTTTCATGAGTATGTTGGGGATATCCCATGGCATAGCACTATCTTTTTTTGATAAGATAGCCAATTATCTGAACAGGGAAAATGCAACAGATCTAATCTACTGAACCTCACTAAAATACTTGACATGGTGTCACCATGGGAAATGATCAGTTATGCTGGTGAGAGTGGGGATTAGTAAAAGAATGTAAAAATATTTAAGAAACTGACTCTGGCTGAAATGCTAACAAGTTCTGTTGACAAGGAAACTACTGGGTTGAAAAGGGATTGAAGTGAAAATTCCCAAAGATCAGACTTGGGGCTGATCTGACTGAACATTTCATAGATCAAATTGGTTGACATGAGCTAATGAAGTCATCAACAGAGAAAGACCAAGAGGTCATGTAGAAAGACATGGATGGCTTTGAGATAATGGTAATAAGGGGGATGAAAATCAATAGAGCAAAACTACACTCTCAGGGGCAAATAAAAATGTCTGTTATCAGCTAGGAGTTGCTTATCTGGAAATTAAAAAGATGAAAGGCTTGCTGTGTATCAGTTGATCACAGAAGGTATATTTCATCTAGTAAATTAAATGGTGTCAGGAAACATTTCCAGGCAATACTGGAAGTGTATCACTCAGAATGGCCTCTGGCATTCTTTTGGCCTGTGCCAATTAGCAGTATCCCAAACACCTCCAGTCATATTTCAACATGTACCTCACATTAGAGACATTTCTTTGTGGCAATGTAGCAGAGATGTCCCTATGTCCTTTTACAGATTCAGGAGATAATAATATGGATGCAGGATATGCCATGCCAGTTGAACTCAGCACCAAATAAAAATACTGTGAGCAACCCTTAACCTTTAATGTACAATAATCCATAATTTTCTACTATTAATATGACCAGAATGACAGTGACTATATCATAGTATACAGTAATAAAAATGTAGACTACTTGAGGGGGGCTGGAGAACAAAAACCAACAAAGCAGATCCCTTTCTAGGGTCCATCAGAAGGGATATTTCCAATAGCAATTGCGAACAAGACTTTATGATTTATTTTACTCTAAAGATATTAAAATCAGAACAAGTACAGTGGAAGGCTATAAGGCTGATAAGAAGTTACTCAAAACTGCTATTTGTCCCATCCAGCAAGCAAAAGCAGCAAAAAGGCATAAGAACAAAATGTCATGAAGAGCAAAAAATAGAAGAAGGCAATACTGATTAGGAGGCACAAATCTCAGTTCATTTAAAAAAAAAATCTTTTCAGCTTCCAGTCAGACATACGAGATTCTGAAAAAGCCCTCCTGCAAAAGTAGCGTGTAAAACAAATAAAGCTGGAGCTTGATCCTTTGCTTTAATACAGTTATGGGTAACTGGATTGCAATGGGAGCCCTAAAAGGTGTTTTCCAATCTTATTTTTCTTTGAATATTTAGAAGAAAAAATAATCAGTTTTGTTAAAAAAGGTTATGCAGTATAAAATTTAATGAAAAATAATGTTGCAATTTTCAAAGAAAGAAATGTGAAGGAAACCACAGGTCACATAATACTTGTATTGTAACAGAAGTAAAAGGAAACAGATTACAGCACTTACCTCATTCTTTAGCTTGCTTCCAGAAAACCTTTGAAAGTAAACACATTTGATTATTTTTTCCTAGGCAGAACACTTGTAGAGATTATACAGATGTATGATCTATTAGAAAATTATCACATTTTTCTAACTTCAATTACAGTTTTTTATGGGTTTTTAATGGTTTTTTTTTTTTCCCTTAACTTCTTCCACTGATTTTCAAATGCCTAGGAATAACAGGAAACCTACTGATGTCTTATAAAACATGAAGATTAAGACCACTGACTAAACACTAAGGTATAAAATCCAGTTTCATGGGTTTTTTTGGATCTTTGCCACTTCACAAACAGCAAAAGGGTAGCATAGGTGCAAGTCTATAACGTCTTTATAAAGAAATACATGCAGTTTTTAATAGAACTTAATAAATTCAGAGTAGAAAAAGTATACATATATATATATATATATAAAATTTACATTTCTTGGAAAAATTAAGAAATCATGATTTCTCATTCTTTTTCACTACAGTACTATTTTGATCTAATGACATACATTTCTGAGATAAAAGATTCCTTAACTGGCAAACATATGTTGCTGTATAGTGAATGTCCTATTAGGAGTCCAATTGAGAGATTGCCAATGAAGTCATTGGACTATCAGACAACCCTTTGTTGCAGAAACCAGAAAGAACATTTTAAATTATAACTATTAAAGTAGAGAATGCACAATAATAGCGATTCTAATGGATCAGTATAATGATAAATGTTGTTTGATTATTGTTATTTCCTGTACCACTAGCTGCCAACTGATAAGATACTGTGGGCAATATGAAGTCTCATAATTATTAGTGGCAATATCATTGTTTCCTGCTGTTGAGATGCTCCCTGGCCGTTTCCTGCTCTCTGAGATGCTCTCAAAATCCAGAGGCTGAGCAGTTGTGGAATTCTTCCTGCCCAGGCCTGGCACAGGTGCCTGACAGTTCCCACCACATGACAATCCAGCATATGTTACCTAGACAGTTCCCTTGCATTGAGAGTTAAGTATAAATGAAGGCATCACTCAGCTGATTACAACATGGATCTAATTAACTTCAAGGCTAGATGTATTTGTTTTGGACTCTGGATTTCCACATGTTCAGCAAAATGTACTGCATGTACAGCAAAAATGAGAGGCAGCATCTGCTAGCACTGCTCTTCCAGAGCCTCAAGGACTAGAAGAGATATAAAGGACAGATTTATGGATCATTATATGCAGCAGCTAGGAATTGGGAGTTTGAATCCCTACACTGCCTGATTCTTTCATTATCAGAGGCTTGTTCTTAACCCCAAGCAACTGCACCATTCTCTTCACACAGAAAACCCCAGCTACTGTGATGGACCAGAAAGTGAGCATCTGAGCTTCTGCTTTAATTCAGATAGGGAGGCAGCTGAACTGCTGGACCCTGAAAATTCCACATCTCATACAGGTCCTAACAGAAATAAAAGGTTCCTAATTAGTGAATCTAGTGAGTAGTTCTGAAAATCTTAGAGAGTATATATGCCATCTTCATGTGAGTGTATTCCTTCAGAAACCTGGCTGTGGGGAATTTTGCAGAACCTCCACTTTCTTTGCACTCATTGCTACTAGATTGTACCTGCCTGACATAAAGCTGTAAGAGGAGTAAGAATTATTATATCATTTTAAATGAAAATAACTGTCTTTTAGTCAACAAAATGAACAATTTGTTCAAGATAATTCTCTATTATGAAAGAAAAATACACTGTGTACCAGCAACACCTCCACAGCTCTGGAAACATATCAGACAAATAAATAGAATATTCTAATCTATTTCACCCTAAGTACTGCTGTGGAGTGAACCCTCCCTTTTTAAGCATTATTGGCATTATTACCCTCAATTTGTACACTTGTCTTATTGCCTAGAAAAGGTCTCTTTGGATATGAGCTAAATCTGCCACCAGTCGAATTTTCTATGTGTGATTATAAACTCATTTATTCCTTTCCTTTCTCAGAGTCTCACTTATCCAGGTATACTGCCACAGACAATGAAAGCCATCATTCAAGCCATATGTGAACAGAAACATTTGTTTTACGAACTATTAATCTTTGGCAAACCAACAGGCAGCTATCGTAACGTATTGATCCTGCTAGCTGTCCCTTAAATAAATATAATTAGAGCTTCCTGGGTTAGGTTTAAACTGATATTAGCCAGTTAAAGGACCTGTAAATATTAATCTACACTGACCCCTCCCTCCTGCCCCACAGGTGCCAGCTTCACACCATTCCCTAAACGTTTCACAATGGAAAGCTGTCCTGGGGAAAGAACTCACAGGGTGACACACTGGCAAACAAAATTAGACAAGTGTTCTGGAAATGGGATTTTGCTCCCTCATATAGACTTGAACAAATGTTCTGCTGTTAAAAGTTGACAGATCTACAAAGACTGTGGTGGGGTCAAACTGGAAGACTCTATCAAAATATCAACCTTTTAAACACTGAGATAACCAGCAATTCTAGTTCTGATAGAAACAAAAATTAGAGTCCTACATATACCTTCCTAAGGGAAGATTATAGCTAGACCTTCACTGATTAAGTCTCAGAAGTTATTTTACCTGGTTAAGCCCTTTCCAGAATACACAGAGTGGTAATATGCACTGCTTTCTTTAATGCCAATTCCATAATAGTGATATCTGCAGAAAAAAAAAGAAAAAAAAAGAAAAAAAAGAAAAGAGGAGCATTTATGAGTGACATGTCAAGTAAACCAAGCTGCCAAATTGAAAGTAAAGGAAGCTGTCAGACTGATTTTAAACGCTTTCTGAGAACTTTTCTAAACAGGGTCTAACAATTCCTTTCATAGACACAGAACAAAATCTAGTCTCATAGAAAAGAGTACTGTCATGATTTGATCCAAATTCAAGGGTTAAAATTAAAATACTTTCTCTCTTACTAGAAGAATGTAGCTAGAACAGAAAACCCAGAAACATGTTACATTTCTTTTCCCTAACCTGCCTTCTGTTACACTTTACTTCATTTGTTTGAAAGGGTGCTGGGTTTGATCTATCAGGTTCATTTTATCTCGCTTGCCACCGTTACATTTACAGTCCCTCAGAGCCTTTCTTAGTTGAAAATAGCTTGCCAGTGCACCTTATAACTTAGCTTTCAGTCACCTATGACTAATAATGATAATATGTCATTCATTCATTCTTCTGTCAGGTCGTAGGCTGACTAACTCTAGATTATTAAGCCATTTAGGCACTTTGCATCCACATTTGTCTCCCTTGTTGCTCTCCTGGAGATTACTGCTCCCCAACAGAGACTGAAAAAGGAAACATGCCTATTGCTCAGGCTTTGCAGTGCTCACATCCAACACCTTAACCAAAGACACCAAAGATGCAAAAAAGGTTGTGTTGATGCTAAGAAAACTGGCTGTGCAGTAGCTACTTATTGCTTTCCACAGATTTTGCTACAAAATAAGTGACCTCTGAGAGAAGGGCAGGAGAGCAAGCTGGGGGCAGCTCTTTCCTTACCAGTCATAGCAAAGTTTGCTTGAGTTCATCTATCAAAGTTGATAGGCCCTGTCTTATAAATTCCACTCAATAGATTTAAAAACTGATTATGTTAAACCAAATTTGTCTAAGAATGTTATGGATAGAATACAAAGGTTCATTTGCTTTTTAGTATTATTAGCTTGAAAGTACCATGGCAGCTGGTTTAACTGAGCTGCTTCAAAGTACCACTTTGCAACACATTGCACCAATTTCACTCAAACTCCCCAAAAGCTTGAATAAATGCATTCTTAAGACACAAAGCCCCAGCAAATAGTTCATTGAACACATCAACAGAACTGTTAATCTCATATCATCTCTGCTCTTCCGGGTGATGACCATTAAAAAAAAAAAAACCACAATATTTGTTTGTTCTTGTATGGAACTGTTACAGGTAAGAACAAAACCCTCACGTGCTTTTTATTTACAAAGCTGGTTAAAGGCATTAAATACAAATTATGCCCAAGAAAATGTTCATTAGGATGATATATTTGCCTAGCCTAGATAGCTGCAACAATCTCAGCTGAAATAATTTTTCTGTTTCTGGACAGTCTGTTGTGTGCATTCAGGATTTTATAGCCAAGAAACATGACAGAATATGGCACCATTGCTTTTACTGCTTTCCTGAAGCTGGTGAGTTTACATAACACTGCTAGATCACTGTGGAACCTGTCAACCCCTAGGAAAGCTAAAAGTGTCTCCCCTGTTTCCTTACGGTGACACAAGAGGTATTGAAAAAAACAGTACGGATTCTTTGAAATGAGAGCATTTACTTACTCTTCATATGGCAAAGGGTGTCCATTGAACAGGACGAAAAACAGAACAGAGTTGTGACTGCTTCTTTAACAATGTTATCTGTCCATTTGTCATTGGCCATTTGAGCAAGCAGCTGCCCACGTCTCATTCCAACAGTTTAAATCTCCTAGCTTCAATCACATGCCATTTTTAAAATTCTAAAATAAAGACTTTTACACTTTCACCATAAATTTGGCATTCCCTCCAGTTAAGGCTGGAGTGGGCCAGAGGCAAGGAAAAGCATTACTTCTTTACAAAGTTATGATTCAATATCTAGATTATTTCACATCTATATCAATATTAATATATTTGGGCAAGGAACAGGAACTGTCGTATGATTTAGATTCTCAAGTATCCAGTGGTATGCAATATACTTGTTCCTGCTGGAACGTCCCAGGATATCAGAATTTTTCACTGAGACAGCTTGTTATGTAGAGAATAGATATTTTCAGTACATATTCCATGTGTATTAAAAGCACAGCAGGGATCATTCTGTTTTTCTTCACTAATGTGCAGTTGAACTTTTACTGCTAAAAACCAGAGCTTTCCATTCACAACAGAGAAACTATTAAAAATAATATCATTTTACTTTTCAAGCTCTGTTTGGCATCCTCCATAGAGTAATAGGGTATAAAGATTATTATTCTCTTACAAGCCGTTAGTTGAATAGCTTATTTTGGACTCCCTGTTGAGAGTAGTATACCCATACCAGACACATTGACAACATCTTTAACCTACATCTTCAAATGCCTTCCATCTCTTTATGTGCATATTTTTATGTGTATGTTCAGTATATTTGTATTTTACTATTTATTATTTCTATTGTGTAATTAACAAAATGTAATCAATTACTACAAGGAATTTACTCTCAATTTTTGAAACAAACATTTTATGAAACAAGCTGAACTACTTTCCTCTTTTAATTTCAGCGGTTTGTTGTAACATATGTTCCTACACAACTTGTAGCTCTGATTTTAGCATACACTGACACAAATGATAGCTGATAAGGAAATGATAGGCTTAAGCTGTTCAGGGAATTGCAATAACTTCTTATCACAGGGCCAGCTGCCATATCAGTTTTATTAACCCACTAAATCACTCCTAATAAATAAGATAATAGTTTTCAGACATGATGGATAAAAGCTAAGATTCATCATTGATCAAAGTCTACAAAGAAATTAAATTGTAACTTGAGCTCAAATACTCTTCCTGTGTGTTTGGACTGAGCAGTTTCTACATTTTCCCAAATTGCTGCTTCAGGTGATTTGTGTACTATGAAAGTTACAGCTGAGTTCTAGCATTGACCGTGTTATGTTCAAAATTACCAATGCAAAAAGGTGGATTCAGAACACAGAACTGTTTCTTATGAAACACTAATCTAAGAGAGCAGCTTGCGGTATTTATAGTGCTGCATCTTCTTTCACTCAGCAGAGTGAAAACAAAAAATTTCCCTTACTTTCAGCTATGTAGAGTGATTAGCATGGGCATGAGAGACTAAGATATTTTGTTAACAAAATTGTGTCCAATGTGTTGGACCTTCTTGGCCAAATGTTTAAATGAATTTAAGTACTGACACTTTTGCACAAATGGGTTGTTGGATGTAAACACAGAGAAAGAGAGATTCTGACTTGAATTCTAGGGATCATCAGACTCAGTTTTAAGTTTATCCTTTGCCCTGAACTAGAGATGACAAATGCTGTTTGGGAACAGAGGAAAAACTAACATTTGTGTATCTCACACCTTACAACAGCAACTGTATTCCATATGTTAGTGTAGGAGCTTTTCCTCAAATTCAATTCATGCTCATGAGGATGTCAGAAAGAGCTTGTTTCAGAGTGGGAGAAAAACAATTTCCACCATCTTGAAGACAATGGGAAAAGGAAATTATTTTCTTTGCTTTCTTCTGATCACAGACAGGCCCTGCCAATAGATTACTGTGTATGCTTGCAGCATCCAGGAAGGCACTGTTTTCTCCAGGGTGTTAACTTTTCTCTAAATTTAAGAACAATTATTCCATTGGAGAAGAATTGTCTTCTTCCTTATTATGATTTTGCAGCATCTGGAGTCCTGGACAATGATCAGAGCTCCATTTATATTGCTGTATAAAACATCACTGCTAGGAATAGTGAGTGCTAACACTGCTCCTGCTAGCATTATGTGGTAATAAAGACAGCAGTGACAGAAATAATATCATGTCACTACACTACTGTGCTTTAAAAAATATGACTTAATTGCTAGTAACAACTCTCCCACTAGTCCCAGTGACTCAGAAATAGTTTATAACATTTAGAGTCCATGCTAGATAGAGTCCATGCTTCTCTTCTAAAAAGAGAAGAACAGTAATTTATTGAAACTGATGAACAGTCCCTTAACTTTATTTAATGGAAATACTTCTGTAAATAACATTTGTGTGACTGACTGCTACCTGGTGAAATCAGAAATTCATTTACTCCTCTGTGAGTTTGTAGTTCTGAGGGGGACTTGGCCCACAACACCACAGATAGAAAAATTGATTATCAGAGATCATTTAACTGAAAAAGGGTAGATTTGGATTAGATATTAGGAAAGAATTCTTTCCAGTGGGGTGTTGAGGCACTGGCAAAGGTTGCTCAGAGCAGCTGTGGATCTCTCATCCCTGGAAGTGTTCAAGGCTGGATTGGATGGGGCTTTGAGAAACTTGGCTGAGTTGAAAGTGCCCCTGTCCATGGCACAGGGGTTACACTAGATGATCTTTAAGGCCCCTTCCAACCCCAATCATTATATCATTCTATGCTTCTACAATTCTATGACTTATACTGACACTTCTATATCACTACTTGCTGCTATATTTGGTCTCTGAACTGGAATATTGTCATTTGTGCCTTTTGTGAGGTCCTTTTTAGCACAGCAAGATCAAGGTAAGTGCATCTTAGCAGAAACAAGAATTGAATAGGAAAAGCCTCTGAGGAAAACTAATGAAAAAATACAGAACAAGTGCCAGATGTTCAAACAAAACCTGATGATGCCTCAGTTCTTTGAGGAAATTGTTCAAGAACAGTTAATCCATATGAAAATATGGCACATAATACCAACAAGGTCAACAGGGATATGTAATCTGCCAAAGAAATGTTGGGCATGCATTATTTCTATATTAATATTGTTTCATGTCTTTGAGAAAAGGGGACTACAGTGACACATGTTCCAACACAATCAATTTTGTAGCTATATACACATTTGGAACATACTCATTTACTTAATAAAGGTTGACTTATTGTGCTTAAATCATGCAGACACAGGACATGTTTGGAAGTTTGGATCCTCATTGGATCCTGTCTATCAAATCTGTTAGTTATGTCAGAACAAGTATATAATGAGCATGAAGGAGACTTCTCCCTTGCATTATCTCATTCATTGTAAATAAGTAGTTCACCAAATATGTTGGGTTATGTACCTGACTAAGAATTCACCACAGCACTGATGAATTAGAACATTGTCAAATATTCCTGCACAGATTGTGAATGCCAGATCTCTTAAAACCTTAAACAGAACACCAGTAGCAAAGCTATGTCTACATCATCTTATGCCTGTAACCACAGCTTAAGTTCACCACACCAGGCAATACATAAAATCCCTCTCTTCCCTAATAAATAACCTTTCTAATAGTTGCTCTCCTAAAAACACCTCTACTCAGCATCACCTACAAAAAGAGATATGAACATCAGGTCCAGTTTTCCTCTATACATTGCAGACTGTGTACTGTCTCCTAAAAGAGGTGAATGGATTACAAATTTTTAAGACGGTGAGAGACACTATGCAAGAACTATCCTCTGTTAAAACAAAAAAAACCCAAACAAACAAAAAAAATAATGTTATATGAAGACTTTATTTCCTTTGGATTTTATTTTTTATTAGTGGTTATTTAAAATGCTTGAGACATGCTCAAAAAATAGAGTGTCTTTGCAAAAATTTGTAATTTAAATTCTTCCCTACCTTCATTTTTTTCTGCAACAAAACCTAAAATTCACAAATGACATCTCATTCATTCTTCAGCTAAACTAAGGTGAAATAACTAGCTCTTTCTTGCATTTCTAAGGCAGGAAGAAAACCAAGTATAACAACATTTAAGAACCACCCAAAACTATGAAAATAAAGAAATTATCTTTGAAACATTTCTAGTATATTGCAAAGCACTTAGGAAAACAAGTCTTGTAGATTTTTTTCTTTTCAGTCTCCTTTTGTGTTGAGTTTTGCTTATAAACTACTGAAAGACAACAGTAACTTTGTCTTTCAAGGCTAAGTAGCTCAAAATAAAGAGTTTTCCCAAACAAACAGAATTTTTTGAGTTTTTCCTATTTCTATCATTATTCTGGTTTTCTATTTTATTCATTAGCAAAATGGATGTGAGGGAATGTGTATTACAAGTCTTCACAACAGTTTTACACTAAATTATGCATGGTCAAAAGCATAATTCCAGAACCAGAACTAATAAAAATTTTAGCACCAGATGATTTAGAGTTGTCTATGATCTATTCCTACAATCTAATATTTTACAGATCAAATATACAAATTAATAGGATACATTATTTATGAAACGACTGCACTATAGATGGTGTACTTTTCAAAGTTTTATAAAACACCTACAACAAAGAGCAGAAGTATACCTTAACTTCAATTTAAAACAATGCTTTTTCTGGTGGTGTATTTAGGTGAACCCTTATTGTTACATAGAGATCACAATGAAAGTTGTTAGGCTTGCAAAGGAGAAATAAAATCACTATTTATGGAAAGATGAGAAGCTATAAAAAGACATGTATTATAAATGATTTTTATATCTAATATTTTGACATAGATTTGCAATATACGCATGGGTCTATAAATGCAATGACAAGATTTAGAAGCTTAATCAGTTTAATTTTAAAAATTATGCAGCAGTATTTTCAAACTTAAATGCTTGAGTTTGAGTATCAGTTTCAACATGTACATGAAAGTTATCACTTGCAGTGTACCATCTGAATAAACTCCTCTGCCAATTAGTACATATTAAGGAGACATGGAAATACAGCTGATTCCTAAAATGCGTTCTACAAGCAGATACACAGGTAATCGTGTCTTACTTTGAGTGGCCCCTTGTTCCGAGCCGCCTTGTGGTCAGGAGAGGGAATTTCTGGCGAATGGTCTAAAGAGAAAATAACTGCATTAGTTTCTAATACTAGCAAGCTTTCTTAGCAATCTGTTCACAGAAAAATCGTAGTGTAAATATATGGTCTAAGGTAGTTCATGAATTAGCATTTTTGACACTTATGGCACAACACAAACGATTAGGCCATGTTTCACACTGTAGGCTTTCTTCCATCCTTGTCCATCTTGCTGTCTATTTCCAGTCTTCCCACCTGTTTTCCCTGTCTGTTTTCACTATTACATTTTAAAATCTAGTTGTCTTCACCAGAATCCTATTATGTTTAAGTTCCTTAAGTACAACTGTATTTTTGGCTTCAGAGATTTAAACAAAATCAGGGGAAACTCAGCCCTCTAGCTATTCTGTTTTCAAAGACAAACAACTAGAATGAAATTTTTTTTTTTTTTATTTGAAAGTGTGATCTGAAAAATTAACTCAGTAATAGAGGTAGATCTAATAGATATATCTAATAGACAGATCACTGTCAAAATAATGTTTAAATGGAACCTATTGTCTTTCTCATTTATACTGAAACTGTATATGAAAATTAGATATCCACTTTTTTTGTATATCCAGTTCAAGAGGAATAAAATAGGAAATTAACATTTTATGAACCAGAAAATCCATTAAATCCATTATTTAATTAAATTGATGCATTTTGCTATGTATAAAAAATTACTAGATCAGTAGTGCTTAAAAAAAGATGATCCTTGAAGCATTTTTGGTTTCCTGTTTCACTAAATACTCAGGATTTAATTTGGAGAGTTCACATCTCTCTTACATTAAATTACTTCAGGATTAATTGTAGAGAAGGGTAGAAAAGAGGATGAATCAACAATTTTTCATTTGGAAGCTCTTTGTGTTATTAATTTCTTTTTCCCTTCTAGTAGTATTGCCTGTGTCACATCTCACCTTACACTGCCTTTAGTATAATTATTAAGTGTCCTCCATGTCAGATCTGGTGGAAAGAACCTATTAATATCATGAACAAAAAGGGAAAGAAAAGAAGCACTCAGAGAAAATACCTTTTTTTTTTTTTGTAAAAACAACAATAAATCAAAGGGAATTTCAGCTTCAATCTCCTAAAGGTGATGTTAAGAAATGCCTTCATAGGAGACAGTGTAGTTATAGTTAGTCTGATTCCATGTACATTAGCAGTAGAAAGCATGTGAATTTCAGAAGAATTCTTACACAGGTGTACTAAACTGTGACTCTTCCAAACAACTGATCTAACAAATTATTAAGGCATTTGCTTATTACCTTCCCAAAAGTTGCAGCACAGGCAGGTTCCAGCTTCTCTTTTCTGCAGAAGTCTAAATAATGTGCATAAAGGATGCATCTTGGTAAACAAACTCCTTCACATACAATGTAGTTTTCTTCCAGCCTGTGTAGAGAAAGAAACTGCCAGAGTAAGAAGCAGCATGCCATTTCTCCTGATTGCATTCCCCAGTTTTTGCTCGCTTTTTTTTGGTTGTTCTTCTTTTTTTAATTTTACTGAAGAGTTCCATCAGAGCACACAGATGAGTTTCTCCTGAACATGACAGGCACTACCAACAGACTCCACACTTGATGCTTAGGCTAGATGCAGAATATGGAAAACCTGGAGACAGACCCCTGTTCTTAATGAGTCTTTATCAAGACTCATTAAGACAAATTTTGCTTCATTTAAATTACTAAATTATCATCACCTAAGAGCCAGCCTTAGTTTGAAAAGAAGAGCCCTAACTAGACATGAAAGACCTGGGTTTAAGTCAGTCCTTTGAAAGGATTTAAGACCAGGGACCTGGACTTGCATCTTCTGTCCCATCTTCTGTATCCTCAACACCTGAGCTAATGTCTCTTTTCTTCATTGTTTTGCTTTTTAATTTCCACTCTGGACCTGGAAATGCTTCAGATCACAGTGGGAGAACCAAAAACCAGTGTTTTTTAAAGAAGGTGAATTTCTGTGTAGCTTCCCAATCAGTTTGCAGAATACAAGTGCTGAGTGATGGTCATTAAAGTAAAATTTTTAAAACTGAAGCAAAAACCTGACTGTTTTCACTTGAAGAGAACCCTTGGTAAGAGCTGGGTATTCTTCTGTCCTGTTGGTTTGTGGTTTTTTTTTTTAATCATTTTACATTGTTCACTACTCCTTGGATGATGTGCAATAAATTTGCTTCTCAAATTACACAAATTTGTAAGAAAATACTGTGTAGTAAACGCTGCATATTGAATAATTTTGCACTGACTTCCCAGACTTAAATCCTTAACTATTTACATTCAGAAGTAAACTAGAATAAGAAACTGAATAATTTGGATTATTCTAATTTTTCAGTTAGAAGGAAAAAATATCTCTATTGACAGTCTGCATTTCGTAATTAAGTTCCCATTTAATTCAACAGACCTCCTCCCTAATTTCAAGTGTATTTTAATATAAACGCTTATCAAATAATGTCTGCAGAATTTGACCTCTTATTTGGTTAACTTTTTTCCCCAGATAAAATAAACCAAAGTTACAGCCTCAATGGGTGGGAGAACGTAATGTAAAAGAAATGCATTATAAGACAGTGAAAATCTAACTGTCACAACCTTAAAGGATAATTAAGGCAGTCATACACAAATGCAATTTTTAAATAATGTTTCCTTTCTACATTTTGATGATGCATTTCATTGATAGCCACGCAGTGTGAGAATCTGACTAAGACTTAAGTGACAAACCTTTGATAATTTCAAAACTCAGAAATTTGGGGATGAGCGTCCTTATTTGTAGATGAGGCTCATCCAAAAGAAACCCGCAAAACAAAAACAGAAAAAAAACCAAATTCTCTCTAGAAGAGATGTCGCCCTCCTCGCCGGCTCAGCTGTTAGAGAAGGGTCCCTCTGAGTGTGACGGCCACGCCGGCTCGGTCCTGGAGCCCCCAGGGCGGGCAACGGGGTCTCTCTGGAGCCCTACCATTGCAGGGTGAGCTGCGTCTGCTTCTTCTTGTCCTTCATGATCTGCGTGATGCTCCTTTTCGAACACGGGCTTTGGTCGGCGGCTGTCAGCGTGCCGTCGCGAGCATCCGCATCCTCTTCTTCCGAGGAGAGGGTTTCGCTGTCGAGGCGTGTTTCTGAGCCCCGCGGGGACAAGAAGAGAGGCCCAAGGGCATCGTTACGGTCCCGCCACAAGCCGCCCCCTCCCGCCCGCCGCCCCCTCCCGCCGCGGGCTGAGGGACGGACCCGCCAGCCGCGTCCCCGCCGGAGCCCGAGCAGCGCTGCCGCTGCCCGCCGCGGCCGGGCCGAGCAGGGCACGGTGCCGGCTCCCCGCCTTTACCTGCCTTGATGCCGGCGGGCAGCGGCGGCTCGGGCAGCGCCTCCCGGGCGCAGGGCAGCAAGCTTGGCCCCAGCAGCCCCGCGTAGCGCTCCTCCTGCGCCTCGGCGGGCGCCGCCTGCGCGGCCGGGAGGCGCAGGAAGGCGTCGCCCTGCTCGGGTCCCTTGGCCATGCTCTCAGTGGCGCCGGCTCTGCCCCGGCGCGGCGCGGGCGGCGCCCATGGGCGGCGGGAGGGGACGGGAGCGGGCGGACGGGGGCTGAGGCGTGGGCCGGGGCTCTGCACCGCGGCCGTAGACGACGTCGGCCAAGCGCCGCCGTGAAGGGGAGGAGAGGGGATGCGGGGGCGGCAGCGGGGGACAGGTGTGCCCTAGGGCGCCGTCCAGGGAGGCGACACGGCTCCGAGCGGGCAGAGACGGCCCGCCCGCCCCGGGGCTCCGCCTCGCACCGGGCCCGCAGGCGGCGGCGGCGGGGAGGTGTCTCCGTCCCTGCCTCCGCTTCCCCTCCCGCCGCCGCGCTCGGTCAGGCCAGAAGGGGACAGGGCACGGCTGGAGGCCGAGGAGGTTCGGGGAAGCCGGCCAGGAGCGGATCTGCCGGGATTTAATGATTAACTCCCGGCGGCGGTGGCTCCGGCCGGTGTCGGGAGCAGCTCCCGGCGCGCCGCGGCCGAGGCAGGGGGCGGCCGCAGGGTCCCCTCGTCCCACCAGGGCAGAAGGTTCTCCTTGTTCTCCCCTCCGACGGGCGCTCTGCGCTTCGCAGCTGCCTCTGACAGCCGCAGGGCCAGTGGTGGGACCCTTCTGGGCACTATCTGTCACTGTCCGTATTTCCTTAATTCCCTGTGTAATTTTGTGGGTAATGGAGCAAAACATCTTCATTTTGTACATTCATCTGGCACACGTGGCTTTGCTTTGCTCCATTTCAGCATGCTGACTGAGAGATGGCAGGGGAGAGAATCACAGAAAGTGGTCTTTGCTTTTTCCAGAGAACAAAATTGTCAGTAGGATGGAAATCTAGTCTGATCTCTGCAACATCTACTGTTTTAATAAATTCTCATTAAAACAAAATGTTAGGTGTTGTGCTGTTGCAGATAAGGACTGGGAAATTGTAGTATGACTTGTGGTAGCAAGCAGCCCTGAAATGTTATATTGGATGAATTGTGAAGCATTTCACAATTCTGCTGGGCTGTCACAAACACAAAGCTCGTGAACAGCTGTTTCCTTTCTACTCTCTTCCAGTCTTCTGTTGCACCTCAAGTCATTGACACCACCAGCACTACAAAGCAGCAGAATATGACCATTTCCACTCCTGCAGAGATGCATTGTCAGACCAGCTATCATGTATCAAATCCATATTTAACAAATATGGTGTGCCCATATCTGCTGAAAGGCCAAAAACCTCATCACAAGAATAAATGATGGACTTCAGACCCAAGGCAGACTTGTGAGAGGGTCCCAGAATCAAAAATGGCATTTAGCCCAAACTTTCTGCTGTTCTGCTTACACCTCTTCCCTCCACTGTGTAAAATTTATTTCTTTCATTACTGGTTACTCCAGTGAACATTTCTTCATTGTTTCCATGTTCTCTTTTTCCTTCATTAAGCGATGCTATGTATGGCTTTGACCACACGTGCCTGTGACGATTCTTACTGTAACTCACTGGCACAGTTCAGCATCTGGTTCCAATGGCTTTGTTTGAGGCTGCAGTAAAATCTCATTTGACCCTCTGACTTTTGGCTGGCTTGAGCATTGGCACGAGTGATCACAGTTTGGTCCACCATGACCGTATTTCCATTGTATGATAAAACTTCTCAGCTGCATATTGTTGTGTTGAATCTTTTGTCATCAAAATCCAGTGTGACATTGAACATGGATACTTTGGAATTATGGAGCTATATGTAGCTATTTCTTCTTAAAGTACAGGATTCTTATGGTGGCAGAATATCCTCAGTGACACTAATGAGTTCTATCCATCATCATCAACACAGGGATTAAATGAGTGAGGGGTCCAGCCTAGGGACCAGCTAGTTTCCACCCTGCAGCAACCATTTGTAATCCTGCTGAAGAAAAGCACAGACCCCAAAAGCTATAGCAGGTGGACAATCCTTCCCCACTCCCTCTTGCTGGAGTCAGCAATCCACCTGAATGTATGATTTATGCCTTTGGGAGACAGAAAGGATGGGGCAGGTATAGAACTGGGCTAGCTGAAACCACAAGTACCAAGGATGTTACAGCATTGCTTGTGCCTAGAAATTTTTAATATTGTTCTGGGTTATGTCTGTTGAGAATCATGGTCCTAACCATATTGCTTATTACTGAATAAAATCTGATTATGAAGTTGAACTGTTAAAACATATATCCATGTATATTTGGCTTTTTAGAATTTTCCTGTTCAAAAATTGTGCACACACAGAGACCTAAATATATATCTATATATATATATATATATATGCACAAAAATGAATGCCAAGGTGGGTGCATGCATCATCCCTGGAAGCATTCAAAGTAAGGCTGGATGGGATAGGGCCCTGAGCAGCCTGATGCAGTTAGAGATGCCCCTGCACATTGCAGGAGGATTGACCTACATGAGTTTCAAAGATCCCTTCCAACCCAAACTAATTCACAGTTCTATAATTTGTACTTGAAGCATGCAGCACCTCTTGCCTAACTTTGTCTCAGAGTTAGTTTTCTTAGTCTAATCTGTTCACCTCAGTCTCCCTTTAGAGCCAGTGGAGAAGAAAAGGTGTCTCTCAGAGCTAATTCATACCAGGCACATTACCCAGTGAACAGATCATCTTCTCACAAATCTGTTTCCCTTCTAGGTCTCTACTGAGAGCCTAGGGAGCCTTGCTTAGTTTTAGGTAAATTTTGTAATGATGTAATCCCACCAAAATTCAACAGTCTGTTGTATAGCCTGGAGTAAATGATCAGATACATGTGCTCTGTAGGACACCAGAATTATTTGTTTCTATAACTCACATGTAAAATATCTTTTCTATCAGCACTCAGGTATTGCACCATTTCATCTTGCTGCAGTGTTTTCTTTTCCTTGTTGCCAACACAGCACATGAAAACAAAACATTTTTCAACTTTATTCATATCAGTGTGACTTGCCATTAACAACAATCTGCCTGAGGGGGTCTCTGTTTTGAACTGCAAAATGTTTAGAAGATAAATGCAGCAATAGAAATACAATTTGTTATTGATCTGTTCCTGTGTAATCCTGCATGATGTTTACTTAAGTGTTGGAAACTGTTTCACCTCATATCCTCCCCAGACAAATGAACTACACAGAAGCCCTGATATGGTATTGATGCCAGGACTCTTTGGTAGACTCTAACACCTCTTTCTTTCCAAATATGCTGATAGTACCATAAAAGTAAAGTATGGCACCTACCAGTATTCCACAGGGATATAATAAATTAATTTTTCATAACTGTCAGTGTTTGTCATTCTCTTTGCTTTGACATAGCATGAATCTATTTAGCTCTTTCTGAAACTCCATTTCTGGTTTTCTGTGACTCCTTGCAAGAAACAGTTTTAATCAGCACCAATTCAAACAAGATAGCTTTCCCATTTATTTTGGTCCTTTCCACATCTCAGTGTTTACTTTTTGAGAGTTATTTTCATCTTGAAAATTAAAAAAAAAAAAAAATTAAAAATTGATGCATTAAGCTAAGAGCTCCTGCATTTGATGCCATCACTGGCAACACCTTTTGAAAGCATATATCCAAGAATAGATTTTTATCACAAAAATTTCTTTAGATAAGAATCTATATAAATTAAAGGGTCAAATTTGAAACAAATTGAAACATCCTCCAAAATCTTAGCTTTATTGTTTCCAATAATTATTGAATCATTCCTTTTGATAAATTAACTGTAATGATGGCTTGAGAACATCACTCAGTGATAAGAGAATTTTTTTTGTCTTTGCAGTTTTTTTCTGAGCCCTTCTCAAGGTTCTTAAACATCAGCAATAAGTGATTTCTCTACAGAATTTGCTTCTTTCTGGTGTCTTGAGTCACCAGTTTTGTGCATGCAACCAGGTGAAACGTTAGAGAAAGCAAAGGGAAAGAAAGAGGAAGGTCCTCAAAGCACTTTTCCATTCTGTCTCTCTTCTACCACAGAGGATACTTGTATCACCCACTGCTGCCACTTTATGCCCTGGCTTCTCTGGTGCTTGTAGAGGAAGGTGGACAAAGATGTGGAAGTGAAGGGAGGGCACCAGGCAAGGGAAGTGGCATCCTTCAGTGTGGGGCTGGAGACTTCTGCTCTCAGTGGGGACAAGAAGGAGAGGATCTTTCATTGCCCACCTAGTCCAGCTCAACAGCTATAGCAGGGCTGCACTGGTGCCTTTTGACCCCAGCAAGCTCTGTGAACTGCCAGCCCTGATGCTGTAAAATCACAACAGTATGGTTGAACTTTATCTGTGCAACCAACAGAGTGAAAAGTTAATATGGAACTGCAATAAGCACAGACTACCCAGGAGGAGAATCATTCAACTCCATCAGGAACATGTGCGTGTGTATCTACACAAAAATTCCACAAGAAGGTAAATTGATTACCCAAAGGATGCTATTGCCTCCATGCCTGACTATTCCCACCTTCTTTTTATAGGTTCTCATTCTGCCTTATTAGCCATTTCATAGCTTTTGTTATATCACCCTAAACTTTCTGAGTTTCTGTAATTTTGAAAATCTTTTCCCAACTTGGTATGGAAAAGATGCACAAACCTTGCCCTGCCAATAACTTTACAAGCAGGGCCAGGTCTGTGGAAGCATCAACTTGTCTGACAAGTTAATTCAGTATAGAAGCTTACAGTTTCCTTTATAAGGAACAATTGCTGGCATCCAGTAGATGGTGATGTTTAATAAGGTATTTCCTGGTCTGTCTCCAGCTGATAAAGCCAGACCTGTCTCTCTGTCTCTTTATGTCTGGATATTTTACTCACTGCCTCTTCCTATGATCTTCAAATGAAAACCCATTCTGTTTTATATAGAAGTGGGCCTTTCTGTTTTTCTTCCCAAAGAACAAACTTCAAAATAAATAAACCATACAATTACACTAATCCCTTTCACAGTTTACATGTCTCTGTCCTCTACAAACCCAGAGAGACTCTATGCTCTGTAGGTTAGTTGAGGTAAACTGTACAGTTCTGACCTTATGTGGCTACATGTAA